AGTGTAAAGTACTTTTACTTTCTTCTAATTGCGAGCAGTTTCATGACTTTTTTTATCAGGGAAATAAATTTTTACCAAAGTCATTTTCTGTTAAGGTTTTTTTTACTTCAACTTAGTTATTATTTTTAAGTAATCTATACACATCTGGATTTAAGTATTTTTGTACAAAATCATGTTCAGATGAGTGAACTGACCATAAAACACAAACATAGCTACAACTCAGCCAGTTTTACAGATACTGAGCTCAAATCTGGTGTAGCTGACTCCAACTCTAGCATTTTATGAGATTTTAGAGAAATTAAAGCTAAAAACTGCAAACATTAATTGACAAGAATAAACACTGATTTTATTTTTTTAATTCCATTGTGACACAAACCAACACAAAGTCACGCACACAGCCTCACGGTTACACACACAAACAGACGCACACACCTGAGGAGCGACAGTCAATATTTGTCATTAGGCAGATGCATTATGAGGGCTCTTATGAGTCAGACTTGTTTCTTCCAATATGAATGACACGTGTACCACCGTGTTCTATTTCTGTGGGTCTTCTTAGCTCTCTTTACAATTTCATTTAAAAAAAAAACATTGCAGCAACTCTGTTTTTCTCCTTCRTGTTTTACTGCAAATATATATCCTTTTAGAGCGCAGCAGTGTGTAGAGTTTGGGCTTTATCAAATTAATTAATATGAAGTATTGAGTCTGCCATACTGTCCGTCTTACTGCTGATATAATTACCTGCAGCGTTTTCAGTTTGCGTCAGCGGCTCTGCGGATAAACAAGGTGCTGGCTGAGAAGTTTTGCCCAATCCAGCAAGCTTAAGAACATATTTCATCAGGTTTAATCCAAGTTTAATTTCTACTTAAAATGCAAAGAAATGACATTAATTGTCTGAGCAACCTTGTAGATGCTAACCTGCTGGTTTTGATGTGAGCGTCGTGTGTTTCTGACACGTTATTTGTTTGCTTTAGCTTTTGAGTTGCTGTTTGCTCGGAAGTCAACCAGGCGGCCGAATGAGTCACATGAAACACAAACAACAGAGTTTGATTCTGCTGCCGATGTTGGGCTGTGTTCACTCCGCCTCTGAGCAGCGCAGATCGATGCCTCCGGCTTTTTTAAGATCACTGAATCGTAATTTTAGAAATAAACACCCCTTCCYCTTTCTTTCTCATCCATTCTTCTGCCTTTGCCTTGAAACACCTTTCAGTCCGCCTTAAAAAACCGAATCAATGCCTCAGATGCTGCTGATTAAAGCTTCATGCAGTGATTTATTCATTACTGAGCAACACTCATCTCTTACCCAGYTCCTGTTGATGTTTTTGTTGATTTAGTGGAAAACAAACATGCGTGTTTGCCACCTTCTAATGCCTGATTAAAAAAAATGTAATATATGTAAAATGTAAATAACTTTCATGAACCCATATTTGTCATTGTGCTCTGTACAATGACATTAAAGGTCTATCTAATCTAATCTAATCTAATCTAATCTCATGGAGAATGGAACACAGTAAATACGTTACTTGTTTAAACTAACAGGTCTGATTCTGTTCTGAACGTCACTGCATGAGCTCAGTAACATTTCCACAAATCATTACTCGTAAACACGGTTCACAGTATCATCCACAACTGGTTAAAGCTCTATCGTGCAAAGAAGAAACCATCCAAGAATGTCACTCCGGCCTGATTTTAACCTGGACTGAGAAATTAATATTTTAAATTCTTTTTGGAAACTATGAATGCCAGGTGTTGAATATGAAAGGGGCGGTCCAACTTATCAGCAAATGTTTTTTTTAGAAAATGTTCCAAAATTTAGAAGCCTGAATAAAACACAGAAAACCCCAATCCAGTTCTCAGTTAAAMTGTTTATTCTCAGATCTATAAAAAAGTCCTGAGACTAATGAAAACAAAACAGCTTCTAACTCCCTCTGCTGCTGCTCTAAGCCTACACGTCCTTAGAAAACCAAAATATAAATAAAACACCCTGGTAACACCCCCCCCGGGGGGGGGGGGGTACTTCTTACATCAGCACTGATGAAGGGAAACGCATTAAATGAGACATGTTGTTACAGTTTAATGTAAATAACCACAACCAATCACAAACCAGACATGGGTTTTTACTGTGTAAAAACAAGTGTGCATTGCCATCTAGCATGGCTTTGCCTGCAGCATTGGACTTGCAGAATGAACTTTGACCAAGTTCAATTGTGTTTTCTTTACCAGCTTGTGCCAGTCACGTCAGCAGGTGTTTAGAATTAAGGTAATTGTGTGACAATATGAAGTTTGAAGAGATTTTTTCTTAAAGTTGCTTTAGCTGGGTTTTGAACCCTGATCTCCCACATGAAAGTCCATGACATAGACCATTAGACCAATGGAGTTGCGGCAGAAGATGGTGGCAGGGGTTGGTTTGTATGTGTGCAGAAAGAGGCCACATTGCCAATACAATTATTGACACTAAATTGCGTAATATTACAACAATAGAGCACTATTAAGACAATATTATAGTAAAACAACAAAATACAATCATATTAGTATTGTAAACACTGAACTATTGAGATTAAATATAAAAAACTATGGTGCAGTACCAAGTTGAGTACAGCTGGGGGCAGTATTGGACCATTACAAGGCCCCATTGACTCCCATTATATGAATTTGGAATAAAGTTTAAACATTAATATTTCAAAAACTACAAGTGGTACAGGCAACAAAAGGCAAAGCAATCATTTGGCACAGGACCTTTACAGATAGAAATTACAATGGCAGCAGTAGGACAATGTATGCAGGAGCATTGGACTTTCAGAATGAACTTTGACCAAGTTCAAATGTGTTTTCTATACCAGCTTGTGTCTGTCACRTCAGCWGGTGTTTRKAATTAAGGTAATTGTGTGACAATATGAAGTTTGTAGAGATTTTTGTAAAATCACTCTTACTCTTAAGAAAAGTTCAGACTGCTCCAGAGGACTCGCAGAGTTGCCACTAAGGGTCTGAGACGGACTGAAGATAGAGATTACAGCTGTCCTCCTCCCCACCTTAGTGTTATTCTCAGTTTTAAGATGTGGAAAACAGGTTTAATCATCCATTCATYCATTTTCTGTACACGCTTCTTCCTTTTCAGGGTCGCGTGGGTCACTGGTGCCCATATCAGGTTTAATCAGAAATATACAAAAGAAACAAAAGGAAAAAAATAACTGTGCACAATGTTGGACTAAAAGGCAGATTTGTGTGTGGCTTTTGGAAAAAATATTAAATATACTCAGCTGGTGAGCGCGTGCAACCCTGTCCCCCCCCACAAAAAAAATTTTTTTTAATTAAAAATTATGATGGGATTGAACGTTTCGTTTATTATATTAACAATCACGCGATACAATGATGGAGAGGGCGCTCCTCTTGGACCAAGATGTTAATGACGGAGCGGGTTATGTGCGTGCATGTGTGTGTAAACCCGGAGTTGTCTGCAGACGGTGGTGAAGAGGAGAAGGGAGCAGTTCAACATTACCTCAGGCTCTGAGACATAAAATAACTAAAGCTGCTGAGTTTTTGGTTCAGATTTTTTTTGTCTATATTCATGAAGCAAATGAGGACATTTTATGTAATTTACAGACAATCAGTACAAGGTGACAACATTAGTGTGTGGAAAGTGAACTTATCTTAGGATTTTCACAGTTTTATCTTGACATTTCTCTGACAATTTTCTTGAACATGAAATCCGAGGCAGTGATTGGTCCATGTCTGAGTTTTTCTAACGACGTCATCCAGGATCAGCTTTGCGGCACAGCCAGGTGTCATCAGCTCCAAGACTGACACTTAAGAATTACTCCTACACTTAAGTGAGACTGAGACGCTAATAACTGACTTTTACTCTCAGCTTTTAACTAAGATTTATTTACACTTAAGTCCACCCTTAGCAGCATTCTTAAGAAGAATTCTAAGAGGTTTGATAAATACGGGGCCCAGAGCTCATATTTATCAACCTTCCTGGACTTTCTTAAATTTACTCCTACTTTCAGACTTAAGTGTAAATGCAAGTTATCAAAATTCTCAAGGCTAAGAGTCACTCTTACTCTCCCRGATCTTTAAGACAGCTTCAGAGATCTTTCAACCGGTTAAGAGTTTCCACTGAGGCTCTGAGATGGACTGACCTCCTCAGAAACTGAACTGAGTGGGATTTTTAATTATAATGTACAGATTAGTAGGGGTGCAACGACACAGAAAATACACAGTTCAGTTCGATAACTTAGTCTTGCAGTTCAGTATTTCACATTATATAAAAAAGAAATGTCCAATGTTCCTTAACTTGTAATTTATTTAAATTAATTCTGAACATTTAACTTCAAAAATACAGTTTTTTAATTAAATGTTGATGAAACAGCAAATTCTCMGTGGATCTGTGCTCGACAATGCAGCCTAGGTGGAGGAGTCAAACACAGATCCACTGATCCTGAATTTATGCAAAATAAGAAAAAATGTGTGAAAAATCCATGTAATTAGCAGACAATCCGTACAGCTTGGCTTGTATGAAAATTGTTTATTGTGAACTTAAGTTTTATCTTTGGGCAACACGAGTGGCTCAGTGGTTAGTGCCGATGCCTCACAGCAAGAAGGTCCTGGGTTCAATCCCCGGTACATACCTGGGGTTCTCCTCGTGCTTGTGTGGGTTTTCTCCGTTTTCCCCCACAACACAAAAACATGTWCAAGAAGTTGCCTTCAGGCCCATGTTGCCCTTAAAAAACAGATCTGTGATCTTGCCCAAAAAAAATAATCTTCAYATTTCTCAGAGAATATTCTTGAACATGAAACCAGTGCAGTGACTGGTCCACGCCAAGGTTTTCTAACGACGTCATCCAGGATCAGATATGCGACACGGCTAAAGTGTCATAAATCGGTTAAGATTTAATCAACACTGCCTAAAGTGAGACTGAGACGATGATAACTGACTTCTAAGCCCAGCTTTGAGATAAGAATTATTTTACACTTAAGTCTATTTTTAACATCATTCTTAAGAGGAAAGACAGACAAAATAAATTTGTGAGAACAGCGTGTTTGCTGCATTAAGTTCCCATAGATGGGCTCAGAAATATGGAGCTGGACTGATGGTGTATTGGAGACACCTGAACTAATTACAGATTGGGAGCAGGTGAGAGATGACTCAGGAGAAAACACTGATCTGAGAACAGAGCTAACATTAGGATTCAAAAACACAGGAAACAAAACCTGAGACACACACACATCATGACACAGATAAAAAACTACTGTTCAACAGAGGAAATATCCTGTTTTCAAATCTTTTCTTTTCATATTTAAAGTTAAATGTGATTAATTAGATCCTGGTTTTAATTAGTGACCGAAGTTCCGATTCCTCCCTTTAAAAACTGTGAAATACTGGCTGCACTTTTCAAGGACGTGCTTTCTTCTCCGTGACGTCTTATGGTTTTTCAAAGTGCGAAGACGAGGTCATCATTTACCTTCCCTGCTTTTGTCTTCRCCTTTTTATGAAAACAATTCTCACATCTTCGCTCCAAACGCTTTGATTACTTTTCCAAGCTGAGCACATATGGGTGTTTACAAGATGGTAATTAGGTAAATGATAAATGGAGGAACACAAACCAAAAAACTACATTGATTTGATTTGATTTGATTTGATTTGATTT